TTTTGTGCGCGGGTATAAATTAAACAATTTCAGGTTAGGATTTAATACGAAAATGCATATTTAACATTGCTTTGAACTTCCAAAAAGAAACGTCAAATCGCAACTTTAAAGTGATTTTTCGGTAAGTACTACACTTTTCCGCACTTTTTTTTATCATTAACACATCTTTTGAGTCATTTCCTACCGATTAAAAAGAAAATCATCGATTTTTAAGTGGAACAGGTATTCTTTAATTATTCCATCACTTCAACTAAATATGCAACAGAATCAAACAGGTAATAATAGTAATGTAAATAAATGTAACATTTATAAATTGTTTTGTATTAAATTAGAAAATGTAATACATGATTGTAAGATTACATTCGGAAATGAAATCCCAAGGTAGTAGAATCCGGGTGACTAAAATATATCCATGTCTTGTCTCGTTTATGTAAATTTCAAAATAAATTAGATACACCAAAACACTTTACAACAATCTAATCTACTTTACACATTAATCCAATTAAATTCTCCTACCTAATTTCGTTCTGGTACATTATTTTATTACTTGATGCCGACGACCACAAGTATCAAAAAAAATATATATATCTATCGAGTTAAGTACCGAACAGCTTCAAAAACCAATTAAGTCCGTTTAATCGGGATCACCGTAGCGAATCCCAACATGTTAATTTAATCATTCATCGGAAAAGAGCCATCTGTTACTAAATACAAATTTGCTAAAATCAAACTTCTATTTGCAATTTATTAAATTAACTTTTATTGTCAATTGAATTCATTGACGCGTGATTTGCGTTTCAACAGTCAGTTTTGACACATTTACCTCTATTTTTAACGTATAAAAAATTTACTTTTTATATTTTCAGGATGCAAGTGTGCAACAACGAATACGATTATACTTCGAAACTGTGTTTTAAAGCGCAATGGTACGACTATCAAACCCAATACTTAAAGCATTTCAATCTTACTTATTACCCGTATGATAATACGGTGGAATTGTACGATGAAGATATCCAAAAAATTTATCTAAGAAGATCGGCCTCTGAAAACATCGCAATGAAGGATTTTTACATCGGAAACACCGTACGCATTTACGGGAGACAAATCGAATTAGTTGAATACGGCGATGAGTTTACGAAGAAATTGATCAGTAAATCGAAACAGCACACATTTCTCTTAATAAAACCGTCGATGGCTGATCGATTAGGAGTAGTGGTGAATGAAATTCAAGATAGAAATTTTCAAATTTGTAAAATGCGCATGGCAAATATGACCAGGAGGGAAGCTTTAGATTTTTATGAATCGAAAAAAGGCGATGTTTTCCTACCTTTTCAAATTGAACATATTATATCGGGTTCAGTTGTTGGTGTGGAAGTTGTTGGCCTTAATGCGATTGAACGTTGGAACGAGATTCTAGGCCCCGACGATCCAGTTGAAGCAAGAAAAACACATCCGGAGAGTTTAAGGGCTATATATGGTGAATCCAAGGCTACAAATGCGTTTCATTGTGCCCAAGATGCGGAAGCCGCCGAAAAAGAATCGAATTATTTCTTCCCAAAGGGACCTAGAACGTTACCTCCAAATCCAACCATTCTTTTAAAAAATACTACGTGTTGCATTATTAAACCTCACGTGATTTACCAAGGAAATTTAGGAAACCTTATTACCAGTATTCAAGACAACAAATTATTTAAAATAACCGCATTGAGAATGATTAACTTTAGCACACCGGATTGCGAAGAATTTCTTGAAGTTTACAAAGGAGTCATTGCTGATTTTAACGCTCTTTTCTTTAGTTATTTGGATGGGTTTTGTGTTGCATTGGAAATTGCGGGAAGACAAGATGATATTAATGTTCATGAAGAATTTAGACAATTTACAGGACCCATTCATTCAAATGTCGCAAAACAGATCCGACCGATGAGTTTGAGAGCTTTGTATGGGATTGATAAATATAAAAATGCGGTTCATTGTACTGATTTACCCGAAGATACACAATTGGAATTGGAATACGTTTTTAAAATTCTTGACTGCTAATCTTTTTTACTGAATAAATTTATAATACAAAATTATTTTTTACATCTTTATTTTCGATATTTTTAAACATTTAATTTAATTATAAAAACTGTTTAAAGTAGTATTTTCAATAATTTCATTATTATATTTTTGCTCCAACAATTCCAAATTTGTAATTAAGCATTTGGCTGTATTGTAAGCCCTTTCAGCACCATTCTCACCCGTTTGGTCAACAACGCACGGCTCAATAGCCAATTTAACGGTTTCTTTATCGTAATAATCTAAAATAAAATCTTCTATTGTTGAATAAGAAATCAAACCGTCGTTATCCAAATATCCTTGTTTCGAATAACTGCATTCAAGGAAATTCAAATATTCTTTTGTGGGTTTTGGAAAACTTCTCGCCGAACCAATTCGTTTTAACGTTTCAACGTCCATGTTACTTTTTTGAATACATGTTTTACTTATCGATTTTATCTCATCTAGTGATACAGGCTTACTCTAAAAGAAAAATCGAATTCAAAATAAATGGTTGGGTAAAAATAATTTGAACTATGTAACAAATAATTTGTATTACTATGCTTATTTACATAGTGGGTATGAATTTATTAACGTACACAAATTACTATAATTAATCGTAAATGCTAATTTTCAAAGCGGATGTTCCTTATATTCTAACGACCTTCAAAACGATAAAATAATCCTATAATATGTTAATTTTTGTAACCAAAGTTAAAATATTAAAACTTATTAATATTATTTGTAAAAATTAATTCACCTGAACCATTAGATAAAAACTGAGAAACACTACCAACACCTTCATAGCTCAGTTGTATACTGCTTGTTGCTCATCTTCCCGTTCGGGAATAAGTATATGTTCTCTAGTAGAGAAATGTCAAGGATGTCGAATTCGGGCTTGTATTGGTTTCAATCATTTAAACGTCCGGTTAAGATCATCATCACAGGAGGTCCTCTTCACAAAACTCTCGAATTCAATGTCAAAAAAGTCGTAAATTTGAAGGTGACATCGTTTAACACTTCCATTCTCAAGATTATTCAAAAAAAGTTAATTAAGGTTTCGACGTTTTTATAAATTACTTAATAGACAGGAAATTAACAAAGAAATAATAAACATAAATTAAATTAAATATTATTAGAAATACTTTCTTCATAAATATGTAAACCATTGATAATACATCTAGCTGCTTTATAAGCTCTTTCTGCTGGAATATTTAAACCTTGTTGTTCCGCCTTGCACCTCTCCAAGATCGCATCTAAATCTGTTGAAGGATAAAAAGTTTCCAACATTTCTTTAATTGATTCAAAAACGATATGGTCCTCTCCGTTAAGAAATCCTTGATTTTTATAAGAACACTCAATGTATTTTAGGTAAGTTTCAGTTGGTTCGGGAAGTTTTTGTTTTAACGATATCTTATCTAAAATTGCACCATCCATACCAGTTTCTAATTTACACTTTTTTCTAATTTCATCAACATTTTCTTTATTAAAAGGAGCGCACTAAAACAATTACCACAGTTACGCAAAAAAAATTATTAGATTAAATAAAATACCTCAATTCCTACAATGAAGATTGTAATTAACAGCATCCGAAGCGGTATCATCTTCTTGAACATATTCAGAGATTGAGATTTATCTAAGTGAATTTTGTGACCTAAGTACTGGTTTTATCATGATTTGTTTAAGTAATTTGACCTCCTATACTTGAACTAAATGTTTGTTTTTGTTCATTATTCAACATTTTAAATTTATAAAATAGAAAGCATTGAGCAATCACGCGTCACTCAAAACGGCTAAAGCCGAATGTTTTCAAATTTTAGTTCAATAAAAGATTTTTGGGAAAAGATCCACCGTGTAAAATATAGTGTATTTTCAAGATAGCAAAAATTTCATATATTATTAAGAGTTTATTGTATACAGTAATTGTTTACAATTCTTTACATTATTCAAATATTACTTTCACTCTCTACCCTCTTCCTCCATTTCCACGCCCTCGGCTCCTCGGCCCAATCATCCCCTCACCCATCCCTTTGTCTCCTCACCCCCATCACCATTCTCATCCATCGTTTCCCCTCTCCCCCCTCTCCTAAGATCTGCCTTCGGTCCATCTCCTCCTCCCTCAACTCACTGCACCCATTCAGCATGTGTTCTAACGTTTCCCATTCCTCCCTGCACAGCCTACACCACCTCTCCTCATCGGCCATCCAGTATTTGTTGGCTCTCTCCTCGTTTCCACAACGGAACCTAGCCACCAACTTTTTCCCTTCCTCATCTCTTTCCAATAACAAGTATCTAGGCAGCCCCTCCGTAATTATGTCCCTGTATCTTTCGTTATACCTTCCCTCTTTTATTTGTGTCCTTCTTTCCTGTCTCTGCACATCTCGGTCCCTGTCTCTCAACTCCCTCCACATCTCCCTACCCACCCTTCGTCTACTATTTATCTCCGTTACCGAGTAGCCCGCTCGTCTATAATAGTTGTCTCTGTGTCCTTTCCCATATCTGACCTTTCC